CTCCATCTCAGATCATCAGGCAGTAGATTCTCAGAGGAGCACTGGTCCCTGGTGCCGAAAAGGTTGGGGACCACTGAATTAAAGTAAGGCCTTGAAATCCATTTACAAAGATAATGCAGACACTTTGACATTAAGTGTTGAAATGTGTCTTCAAGATAATGATAATGATACAGGTGTTTCTCCTGTAATGTGATATGTGTTTCCTTAGAAGACTTTGTGCTCTGCAAAACAATGTACTAAAGTAACAGTTTATGGAGGAATAAGGTTGGAGCAGTCCGCTCAAAACTATGCAACTTTGGAACCAAAGCAGTATAAAAACAAAAATCGGTTCCTGGAACAGTAACCTCAAGAGCCCCAATAGGCAGCTCAGAGAGTCTAGAAAATGCCACAGCAGAACAAAAGAGAGACGGTGCTGGCAACATTTACATTAGAGCAGAGCTACCGGGGGCTTCGGGGCTTCGGGCTTCGACAGTGCGGGTGGAGGAGGCTGTTGGCGGCTGTGAAAGTGGGGCACAGGGGGCTCCACTTCCATGGGGAAAGTGCCCCAGCGGCCAGTGACATTTATTTTCTTAAAAATGCAGTTTACAGGTTCCTAGTGCTAGTGCGGCAATCAAGCTGAGTTTTCTTTTTCCTTTTCTGCTGAAGGTTATAATTCAATTGCTTCTGTAACAGTGCCCCTTGCCTAGAAAAAGATCATGAACCGATGCAATTTCCTGGTTCTACAAAGCTCATTTCCTATTGATCAAGTGCATGTGACTTAATTTGCATCGTATGTTATATAATGTGACCAAAATGATGTTAAAAAATTTTATACATTTTTTAAAAAATTACAAAGTGACTTACTAAGAAAAATGTTGCTTTTGACTACCTGACAGAGAGTTATAAGTTGAATTAAAGTGTTGGGGATCTTGGCGAGAACTGAGTAATAAACAAGAGTGAGGTAGATGGAGCTAAAATAATAATAGCATTTAATACTTAGATAATACCTAATACATTCCTGGCACGTTCTAAGTGCTTTTTATGGATTAATTCAGTTAACCCTCACAGCAATTTTTATAAGGTAGGTTTCTATCACCTCGCTTTTACAGATGAGGAAACTGAGGCACAGAAAGATTAAATCACTTGCCCAGAGTCACATAAGTGGTAAATGGGGATTTGAACCCAAGCCTTCTGCTCTGGAGGCTGCACAGGTATCTGCTGTGCGGCCTAGTCTCTCCAGCTGTAGTCTCCCAGTGAACCACTGCATCAGGCAGATAAAGCTCCCCCACCCCATACAGAGACATGAGCTAAGAGGGAGCAGCTGAGAGACGGTTTTTTGTGACCTGCAGTGGAGAGGAAGGGAGAGCATGTCGGACAGACACCACAGCTTCCCTGGTGCAGTAGTTCTGTGCTGTCATCTCCTCCTTCTTCACAGATGCCAGCCCCTTATGCCTTTTCTTTTCTTACGCTTTTTCGTGCTTTCATACCATCCCTGGCTCGGGGAGGAAGAGAGAGTAGTGTTGTTTTTATTTAAAAAACAAAAACAAAACAAAAAAACAGTAGATACTGGAAGAACGGTCTGTTCTCTAATACACAAAGGGATCTCGAAGGATCTTTGGGAATCCCCAAATCTATCATTAGCATTTTCTCAGTTTCCTTCTCTTCTGGAGAGGTCGCAGAGCAGGGGGGCATGAAATGGAATAAATAAACTGAAATAGGAGAAAGGACTGTGGAAGAGAGAGAGAGACCAGTAGTGCTGAGTTTGACCAGCTTGGGGTTCCAGCGGGAAGGTGTGAGGGAGCTTCCAAGGAGCGAACAGCAGCAGGTTAGCGTCCTGGCCTTGGCTCCAGTGACTGGCTGAGGAGCCTGAGCAACTAAGTGGCCTGGGAGACTTTAGACTTAGCATCTATGGGTCTCTGTTTGTTCCTTTTGCCCTCAGCCTGTTTCCAGCTGTTTCCAACTTCAAAAGGATTAAAGGATTGTGACTCACTGAGAAGTTAGAGAGTAGGAGGGTATTTATGGCTGATCCCAAGGCTTAAGAGTCAGAGAAGGAAGGAAACCTTGATCCCAAGAAACAGGTGGGTACAGTGGAAATCAAAGCAATGGGACAAACCCCGTAAGTCTTGGGGAAAAAAAAAATTTATTAACCCAAGGCCAAGAAGCAGCCCAGGGAACAGCCATTTGGAGGCCAAGTCCCTATAGCGACCCCACTCCATCCTGGAGAGGGGTTGGCCCCTCCTCTAGGAACTGTTCACTAGGTCCTGGGAGCAAGCAGTCCCTGTGTCCATCACATGAGAATTATGGAGAGACTGAGGACCCCTACAGTGTTTGCTGAGAGAATACAGATTCTGGAATCCTGTGTCAGAAATGGAAGGCATTTCCCAAAAGAAACATTAGGGTGTGTAAACACAAATAATGTAACAAAGTAGAAATTTTCAGGGTACCACTGTTAGCTCAATTCAGTGAAATGATAAGGCATGTAAGAAAGAGAAAAGATGTAATAGAAAAGACTGGAACTCAGATTTATTAGAGATGATTTTTAGAACACCAGGGATGATGTTTGGCCACGAATCCAGGATTGGTGCTCAGGAGGTCCACGCTGTTAGGTTTGGAGATGGAGACAGAAGAACCAGCCATGGTCAAAGATGGGAGTCAGCAGAGGGGTGGGATTTAGGTCTGTATCTCCCCAGTTGCATCCCCCTGATCATGAGCATGGGACTCACCTGGTGTGCTAGTTCAAAGGGCAGACCACTGGGCTCCTCCTCAGACCTACTAACCCAGGACTTCTGGTGGCAGGATCCAAGAATCTGCATTTTAACGAACATTCTAAAATTTTAACATTCTATATATTAGTATTGAAGAACCACTGGTTTCATTTTTATTATTTATTATCTAGAAATTTGGTGCTTGGATGATACATGAGAACAGGTCATAGTTTTATAATTAAACAAACCTCGTTAGGACAGCAATGTCCCTCACAAACCTAATCGCTATTTTTTTGCATAGTAATTAGGCAAAAATGTGAATGTTTCCCCAAATGATTGCAATTCATTTTACTTCAAAACATTTCCATCCTAGCATTTCTGCAGTCAGCAGGTGAGAGAGAGGCATGAGCTGGAAGGGTATTGTAAGGACACAGCGGAAGAACACCAGTTCTGACTAGCGTGGGATCTGAGAGGGTAGGGGTGCTGTTTCCTAAGATACTGGAAGAACAAGAAGCCACAACTAATCTCTTCCCTTCCTGGATAGAAGGTGGAGCCAGCCACCAGTCTCGGCTTTGCTGTCCCAGGTGAGGGACCTCTTAAAGCCCAGCTCTCTGATTCCCAGAAGCCCAGCACGCTCATCGCTAAACTTCCGGGGGCCCTGCTCCTCCCTTCCTATGGCCTGCCTGGACTGGGAAGGATGCTGGGCTTAGCCATCAGCAGCACTACAGCACTTCCAGCAGTGCAGGAAGATTCACATCCTAGGACAGTCCAGACCTCCCGTTTTGCTGATGAGAAATGAGGCTCTGAGCGATTCCTTCCCAGAAGCCCAGCACGCTCATCGCTAAACTTCCGGGGGCCCTGCTCCTCCCTTCCTATGGCCTGCCTGGACTGGGAAGGATGCTGGGCTTAGCCATCAGCAGCACTACAGCACTTCCAGCAGTGCAGGAAGATTCACATCCTAGGACAGTCCAGACCTCCCGTTTTGCTGATGAGAAATGAGGCTCTGAGAATTGAAATGACTTCCTTGAGGGCATAGGACTCATTTATGGCAGCTCTGCACCTTGAACTTGGGTTTCCCGACTCCTAACACACTGTTCCTTCTTTTCCATCATGTGTCTGAGTTGCTTTAGCTCTGGCTGGGCAGGAGGTGAGCAGATGACTCGGAAATTGTACACCAGACACAACTGGGCCTGTGAGTAGCCTCCTGCTCTCCCCCTACCCAGCCCCCATCACCAGATCTTTTGTCCTAGAGATCACCTCATTTTACTGGCATATTTAAATCGCAAGTCACTTAGAATCAGTATCGGCAGCAGGATCTTAAGCATTTGCAAAAGCAACATGGAATATCTCTTACTCTCCATTTGAGTGGTTATGGAAGATCATTTTTTTGACTCTCATTTGTTATTTTCTAGCAAATATTCTTACCCACTGTGGCCAAAGGGACCAAAATTAAATTCCAACATTGCTTGCTGAGGTAATGTAGCTTGGAAATAAAGCAAGGTTCTGGGGACAGATGTTACTGCACTCAGTCCTGCCTGGTTTGATTTCTATGTGATTAGGTCATGAGCAAGCTCTGGGAAGTTCCTGGGAGATTAGGCTTGGTCTCCGCCCATGAGGACTGTTTTCAGGGAAGTTTGTGGGTTGTACTGGAGTGTCCTCAAGTCTATCAGAACCTTTACACTTAAGAATGGACATGCCCCATAAGAGTCTGAGAGGTTTGAGGAAAAATAAGCAAAACCCTTGTTACTTCTCCATTCGGTTGCCAAACAGCACAGGAAAGCAGGAGGGCATATGTTTTTAAAAGTCACATCTGTTCTTCTCTATAGGTGACCTTCATTTCAGCAAGACTAAGTGGATGCGAAGATGTCTAAACCGGTCCTTTACAAGAGTTTATCCTCAGCCTGGAAAACTCCCAGCGACATCACATGAGTATGCTTAGCTCCTGTCAAGTGATACTCAATTGCTCTATAGGGGAAAGGGAGGCCTTCGAGTGCCCACGGTCCCAGCCAAGAATGAGCAATTTGGCAAGTTTACCAGGGCGGACTGCTAGATAATTCTTCTGAAAGTTGTCCCGGAATGGTGAAAGCTTTGACTCTAAAGACCTTATCCAAGAAAACCCCCGAGGTTCCATACCGTCATGAACTCTACATTTTTCTTTTTGGAGCAGATAAATGATCCTGTCAAGAACAGACCCCATGGTAGCAAGAAGAAGAGAACGACATTTTTAATAGGAATTCAGTCATCACTTCACTCTTCTGCAAGAATGAAGGGGGGAAAAGGTGTTAGTGGCATATAACCAAATATAATAGCTTTAGCTATGTGAAACTCTTTATACATCTTGGAATTTTTGAAGCTGAAGTTGTCTATGCCAAGATACACTTGGGCAGTACAACCTGAGAAAACAGAAAGTTTTAAATAAAGCATTCTGACATCTTTTTCTAATGACACATGCAATTTTGTAATCTACCAAGCTTACATCTTTCCTTCCAGCTTGAGAGAGTGCAACACCATAGGTATCTGGCCCCAAACCAGGAAAAAAAGTTGGGCTTGGCCTCACCCCTAGATTCTCTATGGCAGCTGATCCAAGAGGCCTAGACACAGACCAGGAATTAACACATCACCCCTTAAACTTAGAGGTTTAGGGGACCTGTTCCCATTCTCTTGGTTTCTAAATATAATTATGTGCACAGACTTGGGCTGGGAATGAGCAATGCTGATGTGAAATCATTCTGGACTCAAATGAAGGTGGGATGAGCTCGTCTTCGTACTCCAGAAGTTACCCAGGAAACCCAAGTTCATCCTTCTGTAGGCTGATCACAGTAAGAACTTCATGTTACCTATGAGAGGCAAACACAAAATTAATATGATTTTCTGCAGTATAAACATTCTAATTAAATATCTGAATTTATTTTTCAGAAGAAAGAGAGCAGAACATATATTTCAGTCATAGAAATAACCATACTTTTGGCTTGTATTGAAGACCGTTGGTCTCTCAAGCTCTGTTTGAAATTCACAACATGGGAATTTACAGAATTTTCATAAAAGCAATTGAAATTACAGCGTCTCTCTGAACTCCCAGGGTGCACTTCTATTAACAAAAGATGTTTTGCTTTACTCACACCTGCTCAGTTCTCCATGGGGGCTCAAGCGATACACATTCCAATAGAGCAGCGTCAATAAAATCGAATAAAAATTAAGTTCCAAGGAATGGAATGGAGATATTAACATGCAAAGTGCATTTGAAAAGGAACTGAGCTCTTGGAACTGGCTTTTTTCATAGAAAATTGTTGCAGAAAAATAGATTTTTTTCAACCATAAATCATACAATTTTAATTTTGTTGAATTCGCTATCCGACAACTTGAACACATCTTCCCTCTGTTTCTGTGTTTGAGGGGAGGGAAAGAAACAGGGGTGGGAATGTTTAGGATAGGTAGGAGAAAGGGTTAAAAGAGCCAGCAAAATAGGAATTTCTTTTTTCTCGTTGCTCATTACTGGAAAGAATTAGGGAGCTTTCACAAAGTCTGCCTAAATTAATGTGTTTATACTCATCAGATCATGGTCTTAAGAAAAGAAAACTCATGTTTTCTTTACTCTAAATCCATGAAATCCCAATTCTCTTAAGAAGCCTTCTGTCTATGGGGAGATAAGGTTGGAGCTGAATTCCCTCTAATTGTCAACGCATCTGTATTTATAGACAATATTGATCTTTCTAGGGTTTTGTTGTTGTTGTCCTGAGAGGCACAAAACAGCCTCTATGCAGAGTGTTACATTACTAGATGCACACACACCCACACACCCGGCCCTGCTCCATGCACACAAACTCACGTGGATCACATTGAATTACAAGTAAAAGGCAAGGTCCTTTGCCTTTAAAGAGATTGCTCATTTTGGGGAACGGGAAGATGACAAATACACGAGTGACAGGACAATTTTGTGAGAGGGAAAAGTTCCTCGTCATTTACAATTTTCTGGCTGCTTTAGAAGGAGGAAGGATCCTTAAGAGGCCCCTTTGCAGAGTGAAGTGATGAGTGTGAGGATGGTGGGCTGGGAGCTTCTGGAGAAGACAGGTAGCTCTGCAAGGGAAAAAGGACCCACTGGATGGCAGGGAGATTCTGGATGCAGGACAGGCTGGCTCAGAGCCGTGAAGGGGAAAGAAAGAGAACAAAGCGAGGCTCCCATGGCTGAAGAGAAGCTCTTGGAGGGAACAGGATGTGCAATGGAGACTTTTAATGACTTTTCATTTTTTAATGAATTCACTACTGGGACATCCCTACTAAGCACCCTCTGTGTGACCAGCTCTGTACTAGATCCTGGAGATAAGGCAGACACTGACCCTCAAGCATCTTCAGTGAAGTACTCACTTCCCCGTGGAGCAGATTTTCCTCTTGGAGAAGGTAGGAAAGAGCTCGGAGAATTCACCAACGCTGGCGCTGGGTGAGAACAGGGATGCTGCCAGGGAAGACAGCCACACCTGCCTTACTCATATTTCAGACAGTGGTGGGGGGAGTCGTTAAAGGAGGAAAAAAAAAAAAAAAAACCACTGTGTTGGCTCTTATTTGTCATAACTGACTTGGTGACCAAGAATTGTAAGCATCTAAAAGTAGGAAAAACATGCATAGCTGCTCAGGAATGTGGAGAGAAGGGAATCATTTGCTTTGGATTGGCTTAGTCACTTCTCAGTGTGGCGAGGTGGTTTTATTTAGTTAGCTTGTTCTTTCACCTTGGTCTGGAACAGTCTTCAGAGTTTAAACCTCCAGAGTAGGTTTTGGATGGAGATATCCCAACAGACTGGTATGTTGGACTGAGTTGTGAGGTGTGCAGTAATTTCTTACTAACTGTAAAGTTCCGAAAGTGTGCAAGTGAAGCCACTGTGATTTCTTCAATGAATGTTGTGAAAATTTAGATACCTAAAAACAGCTCCCCCCACCACCAAAGTCCCAATATTCTCCATGGCTGTGACACATATTCATTTTTACATATACATGGGTGTTCCCAGATTGGTAGCTGTCATGCCACTCCTTTCTGTCCTATTCAAGAAGGAAATGCAAGCGAACGAGAGTGATATTATTATAGGCCTTATTATTCCTTACGGCTAATTTTGGGCTCAGTGGAAAGAGTACTGTGGTTGACTGATGTCTGCTATGGATATGGAAAGGGGTGTGGCAGTACATTGTCACGTATCTGCCATTTCTAAGATAATTTCTATGAGTTCTCTGATGGTGTATATCTTTAGTTTGCTTTATGTTGTAGTCATCTGTGTTGTAGTCATCTATAAGGTTGTAGCTTACCTAGTTTTGATTCCCTCACATCACCTAGACTAGTCAAATCTTGCACTGAAGGACACTCAATAGATATTATTAAAATTCTGTTGACTCTATGTAGTCTAGTCTAGCTGAGTGCTCCTGATCTGTGTGCTCTCTTAACCATTATTGTCATGAAAGTTACACCCATGGCAACCTGTGTCCATATAATACTCAATATAGAATAGGTACACAAAATACTTTTCTCATTAATTGTACTAATAAAATACAATAATTTTCAATCAATAGTAAAACTGCATTCAACCAGAAATTTCAGGGAGTACAATGCGACTGATTTTTTTTTGGGCCAATGTTTTCAGGAACTCATCGAGCATACATGTCGACTTTCCTGACTTGGTGAACACACCCAAAAGGACAAAATGGCAACTGTGGGAGCATCTCGTAGTCCTCATTCTAAAGATCATTTGGATGGGGAAGGTTGAGTCAAAACTATATGAACTCAGGGCAGGAACAAAAAGTTGCTCTAAAAAACTAAAATAAAAAACCCCAGCTCTCACAGTATTTTGTTGATTGTGACTTCTTTATGAAAGGACCAGGTAAAGGGGGGAAAAAAATCTAATAATTGAGGGTTCTGGTAAGCTAGGAATAGATAATTCCAGGTTTTTCTATATCTAATTGCCCAAACATGGATAAGAGGTTAGAACCCTGAAACTATTGAGCATTCGATATACTCTTTTTTGGCTTGCAGGTACTAAGCTTGGGTTAATTTATTTAAAAAGCTCACTTCCTGGTATTTCTGGTTCCTTAATACTTAATTCTTTTAGCATTTGAAAACAGTCAGTAATCACCTTGAATAAGACAGAACCACCTGTCCAATAAATTTACCCCTGGTTTGAAGAATCCTATAAAGCAAGCAAATAAATAAAAATCATTGCTATTGTAAGACATTTGAATAAAATTCTTCTTTTGAGAGGTAGCATAATGCAAGGGGTGAAAGCATGGAAGTTTTTTGGAGCTACCTAAGTTTAAATTCCAGCTCCAACATTAATAAGCTGTGACCTTGCGCAAGTATTTAACCTCTGTGATTCACTTTCCTCATTTGCAAAAGAGAACAATGTTCAGAAAATCTTGCACATTCTGGTACGTGGACAGGATGCCTGGAAAGTCATTACAAGGCATAGCTGAAACACCTAGTCATCTGATATGAAGTCATTAAAAGTATCTTTATGTTGCCCTTTTTTAATCAACCAACTGCAATTACTTTCCCTCTGAATATTGGATTGACTCCTGTCACGTACAGCTCTACTTTGTAGCACTGCTCTTTAATTATATATGAATGAGGTCTGGTTGTTACCACGTGCGCACCTGGTAAGAACCAGGTGTACACATATATACATGGCCTTTCTAGCTGTATGATCCATGTTTATGTTCTCGTTGATGACCAATTCTAAAGTCTTAATGTCAGCCAGTTCTTTAAAGTGGCTAAAAACTACTTATTGCAGGAGGAAAGGTGATGGGGGTCTGGGGTTCATTCCTGGAGGCAGAATGAACCTGGAAGGCAGGCACTGTGGCATGAGAACAGGCAGAGGTTCAGAGCAGCCATGAAGCAATGTGATAAGGAGGTAAGTGAACAGTGAAGCTAAGGAAGGAAGCCAGAGGTTAGCCTGATGGAAACAGTATCGGACCCTAGGTCAGGGGGCAGGAAACAGGTCTAGGGCCATGACCTGGGACAATCAGGACCAGGTGGAGAAGGGAAGTGGCCAGCAAGATGGACTGAGGCAAATATTTCAGGATGCAGCCTGGGAGCACAAAGAGGATACCTGGCGTCCTTTGAATAGGTGACAACAACGCGATGTGGGAATAGGCCTTCTAGCTTAAAGGCTTTGCGAATGACCTTGCTTCAGGTCTTGTGAGGTGCAGTATTTATACCATTTCCTAATCTGACTTAGTGGGGAATTCCTATTTCTTCATACACTTCACACAGACCTTTTCAAGTGTGAGATTGAAATGAGCTGGCCTGAAAATTAAACGCCAACCCTTTCCCTTCTCCAGGTCTTCATACCTCCACTGAGGATGCCTCTGGGGACAAAACTCCTTAAAAATAAAATTCTGTTCATAAGTTATGTCAGCAACACTGGCGAGCATCACATAGCTGAATGACCAACGTGCATCGCGAGGGTGCGGTGACAGAAAGCCGAAGCTACACAGGCCAAACTCATACAATCCAGGGTCTTTATTCTTGTTCTTGTCCCTTTCTGCTCTCTGTGGTCAGCATCACTCTGCTTTCTAAATCACTCATCTTCTGAGTAGTCTTAGCAACAGCTACACCCATGTAATGAGTTTTAGTATGTGCCAACTCCTTTACAGACAACAGGTGATTTAATCCTGGAGACAACCCCAAGGGTAGGCATTATTATTATCATCTCCATTTTAGGACAAGGAAACCGAGACCCCTAAAAATTCGATAACTTGCACAAGGTCGCTTAACTGTCAACTGGCAGACTTGGGAATTAAATCCATCCGAGTCCGTCTGACACCAGGGCCCAGGTTTTTTACCACTCTGCTGAGGTTCTAATAAGAATGAATTACAGCTACTGATGGATTAATTACACCCAGTGAACATAAGTTTTAGGCAAGATGTTACTACTCTCGGGATTTATGTTTTAAGATATTTTATCTTCAATCGTGGTGCAAAAGTTTGAGTCCCAAATTAAAAGGACTGGAGACAGCAGGAAGGAGAGGGCTCGGTGATGGAGTGGGTGAAATTGTACAAGGCCAGGTGTGCTTCAGTTGGCTTGATAATTCTCCTAGTGTGGCTGGAGTGGGTGCCGCAAAGGTCGGCAGGCTCTGTCCCACCTCTTCTGGAGAGATCTGGGAGAGGGACGAGCTCAGAGCTGCCCGGGCTCCCTGCCAAATCTATTTTCAGAACCTACATACATGTGGCCAACTTTCTTATCAACTTGCCCTGTGGCTTAGAACCCCCTGAGACCTAAGACAGACACGTGCTTGGATGCTTTTCCTCTTGTTGTCCATCCTCTGTCCTCCCCCTGAACCTTTCCCCTTCCTCTGACCTTTTCCTCATCTGGCCCATGTGATTCTGCTGATAATAACAGCAAACACACATTTTATTGACTCTCCAAAACTCTACGTATCTCGACTCATTTGATTCTATTTTCCTGAGCATTTTAGAATATTTGTCTAAATAATCCTCTCTTTGCTCTCATTCTAAAGTACATTCTTAGGTTCCTTATATTACTTCTTGCTTCTGATAACAATGTTTTGACAACAAAATGCATCACTAGAATGCACCCTTTTGTCAGCAGAGGTACAGTGTTTCACTCCCTTCTAAATTTTTCTGTCACCCCTGCTTTGCCCCTCCACCTTCCCACTCACCTCCCAAGCACCCTGATCAGTTGCATTTGAAGTATTTTCCAAGCCTTTCCGGGCGCTTGCCTGTGAATTCACTTCTATTTTCTCTCACTACCCTTTTCCCCTCTCTACCACATATTTGCAAAATTGTAACTGTCCCTCAAATTGGTTCCAAATGTTGCTTCTTCTATTTATTTGTCTTTAAGGAGTAGGGTCATCAGCCCTGCAACCCAGCACTGGCCACAGACGTGGTCTCTACTCCTCTGCTGTTAACTAACTTGTAAATTGGGAATGAACATAAAACAGTGATCGTTGCACCCCACACCCCATCACTCCCCTCACACTGAGGAAGGTCTGTGGGCCACATTGAGGCCACTTGTCATCTTTTCCCCTTCCTTTCCATCCCTTTTTAGAAAAGAAAAGCATTCAACAGAAATCCATGTACATTGCAGGGCCAAAGGACAAAACAAATATCTTTACAACACACCATAAGTCACCATGAAATGTGTGCCATCATTTCCATGGTTTTGATAAATATGAGGTGTGCTTAAATTAGAGATCATAAATTTGGGAGCTGAGAGGAGATGGCTTGGATTTAATAGAACAAACTGCTATATGAAATCTGTCTTCTTAAAGTTAATTAAAGGAAGTGGAAATGGTCATCTATTAACAGAATCTAGGCCTCCAAGGACTAGTTTGTGAATATAAATGTACGTACACTTTTGTACATACATGTGGGCATTGTGTATGTAGATAATAATGTGTGTCTGTATTTAAAACTTCTGATTTAAATCGTGAGAACCAAAAGGATTTTTTTCTGATTTGTGAATATATTCATACAAAGAACATTAT